CTTTAAAGCCACCCGCATCTTATGGCGCAAGTACACTATGCGGGAAAGTGGCCGAGACGTAATAGTGTGAACATCATCTCGATTACTTTCTCCTTACCTGAGCGTCGCCCATACTTCGGTGTGCGATCTAGCGCTTCATCTCGATCAATTTTCCGCATAGTGTACCTGCACCATTAAAGTGGAAATTCGCGCGGTTTAAAAGTTATGCGCATCTATTATAAGTATAGTATAAGGTGATAAGGGCGACCGGAACTACAAACTAAATGGGACTAATATAAACTTCATTTAGGTTTTTTTATAATTGGAAAGTTGCAATATTCCTATCTGCACAAAACTTCTTAATTTATTTCGTCTTTTTTTCTCCAAGTTTTTCCGTTAAGTAGTAACTGCCTGTGACCGAACAGACAAGTGAGTGACCTTTGGTTTCCATTCACAAAGATGGAATTTTTCAGCAAATCTATGATGTAGAATACCTTCTAACTGACATGACATTACCTAAGCTAATTGTACCTAAAAATGGATTTCGTTTATTTGTGTTTGAAAGCCGGTTTCGGCAGAGTTAATAGAACGAACCCCACTCTTCCTGTGGATGTCGTAAAGTAATAGACTACCAAGGTATGAAGGTACCCATATGGGAACATAAGACCTCAACTTGCTTGGCCTCTTTAGAGGTCCATTCAAATCTTTCATTTGTCTCTGGAAAATAAGAGAACTCCTGCAGTGACTATACCTGATGGAAATTAGGTTTTGATACTTCACCCTGGAAATGCAATTTATATGGCAACCCTATATACTCACGTGGCTTACTAAACTCCTGACGCATCGATGACCAGATCTCAGTGTATGTAATATCAGGTTTTGAATTGCTAATCCAGACGCGCGTCAGTCCTGCATTAATTTGATTGACATTTGGATAAGTGACTGTTTCAGTTTTGTGAAGTGTGGTCATATTGCAACTTAAAAACGGTTGAGAGAAAAGGTGTTGTGGTCTTATTCTGAATTCATATAGTTCTTAGATAAATAAGTAATATCAATTGAATTGAATGTTTGGATTCGGAGCTAGACTTCCCTAAAAGTTACCAGCACATCTTGTGACATTTCACAATTAATATTGTACTTTACACTTGAAGTAATTGTGAATTCTGTCAGATTATAATTTGACGTAATTAGATTACAATCTAAGCCTAGGCGCAAACTACCGATTTTTGTCGGCCGATAGTTAAGTCGGGCAGTTAATCAGTATGGACATGTATGAAAGTGCGCACACACCGATTCTTCATACAAATTAAAATCGGGCCCAACTATCGGGTTCGAGTTAACAATTTCACGTTGACATATAAAATTCAACTGGAACTGGACTGGGGCTGGAAGACGTAGCGTGGGCAGGCCTCCTACTAGGTGGACCGACGATCTGGTAAAGGTCGCGGGAAGAGCCTGGATGCGGGCAGCGCAGGACCGTTCATTATGGAAAACCTTGGGGGAGGCCTTTGTCCAGTAGTGGACGTCATTTGGCTGAAACGAACGATACAATTCAACATCCTTTATAAACTAACTCTTCTTTGTTTTCTTCCAGCTGCTTGTAAATAGAGGCTGTAAATATAATTATAGCAAGTAAAGATGAGTTTGGGTGCACGCGCCACCAAGGGTGGTGCGAAGGCAGGCAAGGAGGGCAAGCACGCGCCAGAGAAAGGCAAGGGCACAGACAAACCACAGCCCAAGGAGAAGGTCAAGCCACAGGTCAGTCTATTCACTGTACAGGTCATTAATCACTTAAGGCTTCCACAGACCTAACGCGGGTCAGGAGCAGTGCGGGTAAATTGCAGCGCGGCAGTAGGCACACTGAAGGCAGCGCTGTTTGAAAGCAGTTGCAACGCGGGCGGTTGTCAAAAAATTCAATATTCGAAAACCGCTTTCAACGCGCTGCTACCGCCCTGCCTCCGGTGAGTCATGCTAATATGGCCGCCATAGTAATACAACAGAGCGGGCCCGCGCTCGCGCCGCTTCTGTCCCGCTCCCGCGCCGCCTGGTTTGTCGTTCGGCAGTTGCAGTGCGGCGCGGTTGGAGCGCGGGCCCGCGTTCATATTTGGTGTGACACACTTCAAATATTTTCTTGTATTATAACTTGCGCGGGCCCGCATTCAAACTGCGCTGCTACTGCCCTGCGTTTGGTCTGCCGAAGCCTTTAAAGGTTCAGCCAAACCAACGCGATTATACGCGATCAGCCGGCGCGCAGCGATGGCGATCAGACTAAATGCATTGATCGCCATGGCTGCACGCCGGCTAATCGCGTGTGATCGCGTTGGTTTGGATGAACCTTCAGGTCGGAACGCATTGGAACAGCGCAAGTCGCAACATATGCTAAACACACCTTATAAGAATTTTATGAAGTTTTGTGCCGCTCAAGTTTGGCCCGACTTTTCATAACCACATAGGTTGCTGCAGCTTCTTGCGGTTAACTTAAAAGAGGCTTAAAATTAGAGAAAAATGTTCAGTGAGAGACAGGAGGATGAAGCCAAAAATATATTGTTTCACTGACTCAATATTCAGATTTGATTTCGTGCTTCGTTTCTTAATTCGGACCTATCTGTCTCACTGTGGCCACCCTCTAAAGATCCTATTGTCGACCTAAACGTGAGTAATTCCAGGCCTGTTCATCTCCGCGAGTTTACATAGAAAACAAAACACGCACGATGGCCCACCTACAGGATACTATTCGACAAGGCCTCACATACGAGCGAACATTGACTCACGCACGCGTATTCTTGTGTATAATGGAAGAAAATAAAGAAAATCGTGTACTAAATACTGTGCAGTATTTAACTGCCTAAATAATAATAAAAACACAGAATGTACTTTTTTAAGTTGCCTCAAGACACTGAGAGGTAAATAAGTAGTNGGCTCTTCTACCAAGGTCGTTCTCGCTCAAGCATGACAGCTAATAAACCCAAAAACAATTAAATTCTTTTTGTAGACTTCTTCTTTGAATGTATCGATCTGTCTTAAAAAACAAAATGCAACCGGCTGTTTGATATTTGAAACAAATATGCCGATGACGTCATCGTGATTACGCTGCGCCAGCGCATTTGTGACGAAAACGGACCTAGAATTACGTATCGGCTTACACGGTACCGATTGGATACGCCATTTTTTAGCACCATTATTGGCAATTTTCAATAAAATTGTGACATAATCACAGCGTTGGTTAAATGACTGTCTTTTTCGACAACCGGAGATCCCCGTTGATAAAAGATCAGAACGTTAGCTTTAAGGCCACCCGCATCTTATGGCGCAAGTACACTATGCGGGAAAGAGGCCGAGACGTAATAGTGTGAACATCATCTCGATTACTTTCTCCTTACCCGAGCGTCGCCCATACTTCGGTGTGCGATCTAGCGCTTCGTCTCGATCAATTTTCCGCATAGTGTACCTGCACCATTAAAGTGGAAATTCGCGCGGTTTCAAAGTTATGCGCATCTATTATGATAAGTATAGTAGGTATAAGGTGATAAGGGCGACCGGAACTACAAACTAGATGGGACCAATATAAACTTAATTGAGGATTTTTTTTCCAATTGGAAAGTTGCAATATTCCCTGAACAAAACTTCTTAATTTCTTTCGTTTTTTTTTCGCCAAGTTTCTCTGTTAAGTAGGAACTGCCTGTGACCGACCGACAGACAAGACCTTTGGGTTCCATTCACAAAGATGGAATTTTCCAGCAAATCTATGATGTAGAATACCTTCTAACTGACATGACATTACCTAAGTTAATTGTACCTAAAATGGATTTCGTTTATTTGCATTTAAAAGCCGGTTTAGGCAGAGTATAATAGTACCACCCCCACTCTTCCTGTAGATGTCGTAAAAGACAACAAGGTACCCATGTGGGAACATTAGACCTCAACTTGCTTGGCCTCTTTAGAGGTCCATTCAAATCTTTCATTTGTCTCTGGGAAATAAGAGAACTCCTGCAGTGAATATACCTGATGGAAATTAGGTTTTGATACTTCACCCTGGAAATGCAATTTATATGGCAACCCTATCCACTCACGTGGCTTACTAAACTCCTGACGCATCGATGACCAGATCTCAGTGTATGTAATGCATCCAGGTTTTAAATTGCTAATATGGACGCGCGTCAGTCCTGCATTAATTTGATTGACACTTGGATAAGTGACTGTTTCAGTTTTGTGATGTGTGGTCATATTGCAACTTAAAAACGGTTGAGAGAAAAGGTGTTGTGGTCTTATTCTGAATTCATATAGTTCTTAGATAAATAAGTAATATCAATTGAATGGAATGTTTGGATTCGGAGCTAGACTTCCCTAAAAGTTACCAGCATATCTTGTGACATTTCACAATTAATATTGTACTTTACACTTGAAGTAATTGTGAATTCTGTCAGATTATAATTTGACGTAGTTAGATTACAATCTAAGCCTAGGCGCAAACTACCGATTTTTGTCGGCCGATAGTTAAGTCGGGCAGTTAATCAGTATGGACATGTATGAAAGTGCGCACACACCGATTCTTCATACAAATTAAAATCGGGCCCAACTATCGGCCAACTTAGGCCCAGAACAGACGGTGAAACGCAACTGCAACGAAACTGCAACTGCTAGTTACTTTTGAGTTGCATTTAAGTTTCTGCCATAGCGTCCGTTGAGAGACCATACACACATGACGCGACCAGTTTGAAACTTTCAGTTTCATTCATCAGAATCATCAGTTAGGCGGTTATCACACAGCGTGGGGCGACAGATTTAATCATTGTATGCTAGTACCTCAGTTTGTATAGAAAACACGCGCGGCACTTCACACTGACAACGCGTCCGCGCGCGTAATTTTTTATATGAAAACGCGGCGCAGTGTGATAACCGCATAAGTTGCAGTTGCGTTTCGCCGTCTGTTCTGGGCCTAAAAGTCGGTGGTCTGCGCTTAGGCTTAGGCTTACCTAAACCACAGTTATATTATAAATTGACAGAGTACAATTTTACCACTAATTTTATTACAACTTGTCTTTTTTGTTCCAGCTGCTTGTAAATAGAGGCTGTAAATATAATTATAGCAAGTAAAGATGAGTTTGGGTGCACGCGCCACCAAGGGTGGTGCGAAGGCAGGCAAGGAGGGCAAGCACGCGCCAGAGAAAGGCAAGGGCACAGACAAACCACAGCCCAAGGAGAAGGTCAAGCCACAGGTCAGTCTATTATTCAATGATCAATCTAACTAACACCTGATTTCCACCAAGGCGGAGCGGAACAGAGAATCAGAGAAGTGTTTGGAATAACCAATCAGATATCATTATTTTTACATCTCTCCGCTCCGCTTTGGTGGAAGGAAATGGATCGCGCGGAAAAGAGAGCGTGGACTCATTTTTCTTTAGAAATAGCGGCCGCCTGTGACTTCGTACGCGTGAATTTGATTTGATTTTTTTCAAAATCCCGTCTTAATGAGCACCTACGTTCTAAAAGGATGCATGCAAAATTTGAGACACCAGTTTCTGAGATTTCGTGATGAGTGTGAGTGAGTCAGTCAGTGACCTTTTGCTTTTATAAATATAAGATTTGACAGCGGTGGCGGCGCGGTGTGGAGCGGAACAGAGCGGTGCAGAGTGTGTTTTCCTTTCATTGACAGCAATAGACTGACAGAAATAAAGCCCGGTCCGTGAGCACGTAGAATTTTGTCCAATGACCCCTTGCTACCCATCCTTATCGCTCGCGCATAATTATATTGCTGTCGCGACTGTGCGACGGGCGCCCGCAGTGAGGGTGCGAGTGCGACAGCAACATAATTACGCGCGAGCGATAAGGGTGGGTAGCTAGGGGTCATTGGACAAAATTCTACGTGCTCACGGACCAGACTATAGTCATAGGAGTGAATATTGCTTATCAACACACTATCTTTTTGTTTCGCAGGCAACCACAGAACAGCTCCGGATGGCTCACATGATAGACCGTAAAAGCGAAGACGCTTCCGACGTCCGCAGAATGGTAAGTGTGTTTGTACTTAATTTTTTGGGTAGTAAAGATAGCTGGATGTAGGCCACTAATAACCGCGCGATGTGGAAATCATTAGGGAAGGCCTATGTTCAGCAGTGGACGTCCTGTGGCTGAAATAATGATGATGGAAGTAACTTTTATAATTTCTTATTTATCACTGTTTGGTTCCACTGACCCGATGACTGATGCCTTATAAAACTTTTTCTTTTATTATTTTTTTTGTCTTAGAGAACAGAGGTATCGGCAACAAAATCGACAAGCAAAACTGTCTCTAGTTACAAATTCTCTAGCCTAAGGATTTTAGACAAAATAAAAAAAATCTTTCTTTCAAATTGAAAATAAAAATCGCACGTCAAATTAACAGTTGATCTACAAAATTCGTGCTTATTTGATTTCAAATAACGATTGATGTACTGTTTCTTGTGTACTATCTCTGTATAATGAGAACATTACTCAATCCGCCACTCCATAACCACCTGTGGCGCGTACAATGTACATGAATGTGTTAATGTGAGAACATCAGACAATAGGGGTCGCTCCGATCGCTACTCGATTGTGGAAGGGACCATTACGGAGAAATGACCCGTTAATGTTGTGTATTTCACACATGGCTCTGGTGGAAGTGGGAAATTCTGTTTTGATTGTAACCTTAGTAGTGAAAATTTGCATTAAATTACAGTTAAAATTTGTAGTACATGTGCTAAGCAGCGAGTGTAAAGAAGTTCTATTGCCATCTATATTGAGATATATCATCTATAGAGTGGCTTCTTCTAGTCTTCTGTCATTTGGTCAGACTTAATAAGCACTTAAAGTTCCTGTCCTATAGGGCACTTTCGCTTTTGTTAGAAGCCCTGCTTATAAGCAGGGCCTTCAAAGTATGGAATCATATCCATTTATTTCACATGTAATGTAAGCTTGCAGTAAGGGCCTTGCCGGACTGGAGGATTGCAAGTGTTTTCTGTGGGGAGCAACGCCGCGGCATTTTGCAAGCATTTTGGCGACCGAAGTGTGCCCGCCGCTCCGGTTGCAATCCGCCAGTGTGGCAAGGCCCTTACTGATTTCAGATCGTTATTTACTTGCGCCCGGAGATATTGTAAAGCCTAGTCCGTGAGCACGTAGAATCCCGTCCGTATAATTACGCGCGAGCGATAAGGATGGGTAGCTTGAGGTCATTGGACGGGAGTCTACGTGCTCACGGACCAGGCTTTAGACGTTGCAAGAATCTTCATCGCGCATTTCTTACACCCTACAAGAATTTGAACTTTATGCTTCTAAGATACGGTTGAAAACTATTTATCCTTCGTGCCAGGTCCTTGAGTTGATGGAGATGACGTGTCGCACGGAGGAAGAGGTGTGTTCGGCGCTGCACGACTCCGACAACGACATGGTGGCCGCCTGCAACCTGCTGCTCGAGGAGAGCCCCAGGATACAGGTATAAAGGCAATGGGCAGGGCACATAGTACGCAGAACTGACGGCTGATGGGGCAGCAAGGTTCTGGAGTGGTGGCCGCGACCAGGTGGACCGATGACATCATAAAGGTAGCAGGAAGGCGCTGGACGCAGGCCGCTACCAACCGGGCAACATGGATAGCATTGGGGGAGGCCTATGTTCAGCAGTGGACGTCCTATGGCTGAGATGATGATGATGATGAGCTGCCTGCGCAGACATAAGAGGCGATTGTGGCGTGAAATAGCTAGCTATAGAACTACCTGTCTGGAAATCACGAGAAGTATAAAATATGAGCTCTCCAGGTGCTCAGATAGAGGTGATTTTAGCATATAAAGTAATGGAACTACCTCTCTGGCAAGTATGAGGAATGTTGGTCAAATTGAGTAAATGTAATNAAACTTCGCACACAAATTCACGCTTATAACTATGCTTATCTTAAAATAGTTACGTCAATTACAATAATTTAACCGCTTACAAAAGGGCGAAACACAAAATGGCGGAAATGGCAAAATGTGGGCATAATTGGCGAATGAAGGTGTTGCACGTAGCGTCGGTTTTCACGTGGTGCGGCAGATGGAACGAATGTTTTGCACAAACCATGAACAAAGTTGAACGAACGTGTTGTTAAAGTTCTCGCCGTCCTGCTTGCACTCGGTCTCGTTGCAAGTTTTGTGTCCTTTTCTTTCTTCGGCGATGGTCGACACCACAATCGGCACGAATCGGGTTTGCGGTTACAGCGCCACCTGGTTGCGATTTGTTGCGTGCTGCTTGAGTGGATGCTGAGTGAATTGCGACCCAAACGACGAATGAACGAAGAAAATGGCGTCCTTGCTCTTCCCAAAATTGCGAATACTTGCGTCTCCTCCAAGTGGCTTCTGGTCAACTCACAGATCTTCTTATATATCTCGAAGGACCATGAGGCGCGGCCGCGCGCGTATTTGTGTATAATAGGGCTGGATACTGCGGGTTTCTTGATTAAAACACAATCTTCAGATAATACACTTGTGTATTCGTGGGAGCCGAGACGAGAGAGAGAAAAAACATTGCCATTACACAAAAATTAAATTCCACAGCTTAGTGTTGCCATGCAACAGGTATACAACTTTTAATTGCTTACACTGGTTCTATAGTCTGGTCTCCGAGCACGTAGAATTTTGTCCAATGACCCCAAGCTACCCATCCTTATCGCTCGCGCGTAATTATATTGTCACGAGAAATAATTTCCATGGATCGATTTTGTTGCATACCACCCTTCTTTTATTTCAAGTCCGATTAGTCGGACGAAGCGGAATTGCGATTCCTTGTAGTCCGATTAATGGAACCAACAGGAAAAAAAAGTTCACGTGGTCCGATTAATCGGACAAAACAGTCGGACCACGTGTTCAGAGGGATATTTTTCGCATTTCTTTGTAAGCTTTTCAATTTGTTCTTTAAGTTTTCTTTGTACAATTTTGACCGATTAGTTTTCACTTTTTTTCTTCCTTTTTCCGCGAATCGGGGTTATGCATTAAAATCTGAGGAACTGGCGAAACGTGTGGTGTATGATTTTGTTCTTGTAAGATAGGAGAACTTGGGGATGTAACTTCTAAAACCCTCTGCAAATTTTTATTTTTTTGTCTTAGGTTTCTCTTTTTTAATTTCCATATCACTAGCATTATACTTTTCTTTGTGTGATAAATCATTTACAAGTCTCTGATAACTGATAATGTTCTCTCTTTTCTTTCTTATACTCTTCGTATTTCTCTGTATTTTGTTTTAATTTTTCTTTATATCGTTTTTGCTTTTCGGCTGGAGTTAAGGGCGCCATATTTTCTGTAACAAATGATTATTTACTAAGATTTTTTTAATGCAAAATAATAACCTTTGGCAATACGAAAAATTTACAAACTATTTTAGAAGCACACAAAAAATCAAAATAAAACCTTAGTAAGATATTGAATGTACTATTACTAGAATTCACTTAAAGTACTTTATGGGATAGCAAACTTTATGGCTCATTCCACCGTTTCGTCTGAATTTGTATAATTCCACGGATTTTATTTTTTTACAATGGTTTCGAAAATTGATATGCTAAATAGATGCGTATATCTTCTAGATGTACTCGTAGTATGCTAGTTTAGACGTATACTAAAATGTTATAATTTTTGAGGAAATCGTTGGAGTGTAATGAAGCGGTGGAATGCAATGAAATATCGTGAGAGTGTAATGATTTAGTATGGAAGGTAATGAAAAAATATTAATCAGAAATATAATATAAATAATAAAAAATAACACTTTCTTTTATTATATTTGCTCTTTTTAAAGATTTTATGAGAAGATTTATGTTGGCAATGTTGGCATGATGCTTGCACTGGCAAGTAGCTCTTTTTCCTAAAGGGTGATCTACCCATTTTGGTCTATATTTACAAAATACAGAATATGCAAAATACGACCCCATTTTGCACAGTATTTCATATGTATTTTTTTTACTGCCGTCAGCACAGGCCGTTATTGCTGCTATCTCCGTCGGCCTGGTCGCTTCCGTGACCTTGTTCTGCCAATCTATCCAGGTCGGTTACGGAGGTCCGTGGCCGCCAGGACTGCTTGTACCGCCGGGGTAGATGCCTGTTCCACATTATCTGCAATGTGGCGTCCGGTATCTTGTTGCTTGCCAGGTCCTTCATCGCCTAAGGAGCTGAGAAGGATTTTGATTACCCAACTCCATTTCGTCCAACAGTTCCTGGAACTGGCGGGTTTCAGACTCCTCAAAAACCTGCAGGAGTCTAGCTTTCAGGGCCTGATATTTATTGGTAGCCGGCGGGGATATGACTTAATCACTGACCTGCTGTATAGCTGTCTTACTCAGCTTGGTCACTACCAGATTTTGCTTCGCGTTGTCGCCCGATCAGTGTTGCCAACAAGTCGGGACCTTATGTCGCCCGTTTTCAAAGCTTGAGTAGCCTAAAGGATTTAGTTCCAACGGGACACATTTTCAATCAGACACATTCCCACGTGGACACAGTTGCAAACTGACACAATACAGTCAGTCGAATAAATGAAAGTGAAATGAAAAATATGAACATTAAAATAACTATATTTTATTACAATTAAAAACAAAATTAAATAAAAATAAGCATCTTCGCGTACTTTCCTTAAATCAATAAAATAACCTAAACATAACATAGACCTGGCTTTTATGAGGGGTTACAACTAGCGGCCGCCCGCGACTTCGTACGCGTGGATCCCGTTTTATTACCCCCTACATCTATCTTACGCGGTTTAGATTTTTTCATACAAATGTTTTTTCCCGCTAACTCTAATTTTGCAATATCCTGTTGTCTAAGCTTTAAGTTTACTAAGGTACCTGCATGCCAAATTTCAAGCGTCTAACTTAAGCGGTTTAGAAGATACCGCGTGTCAAATAAATAGAAAAGAAAGTATGAAAACGAGCGTGTCGTTTTTTAAACGTCATCCACATCTGTCCTTCAACGAGCTCGAAACTAAACATCGTAAGCGCCATTCACATTTTTATCAGAAAGTTAATAAAAATATTTAGTTTTCTTGAAATCTAAAACAGTCAGGAAATCGAAGAGGTAAATACTGATGTCTTTGTAATTTTATAGGATATTTTATTGTAATTTATTGTAAAACACGGTCGTATTGAGGTTTTATAGAAAAATTGAGAGGTAACTTTAAGATTTTTTCAATCGAGCAAATTTTTTCTTGTCGTGTATTCGAAACAGTCTTCATCCCATCATACGTTCTATAATACATATTGAAAATTTCAGTGCGAAATATCGCCAATTCTTTAAGTAACGCTAATAGACAACAGTCAATATGGCCGTTTTCACCTATAACCTTACTTAATTGTCAATAGAAATTAAGCGTTTCAAGCATTCCCTAGCCGTCACCTCTCCCTTAAAACTAAATCTTCTAGAATCTGCTGCTCCTGTTGATTTCTCCTAATGTCTTTTTTCCTGCGTTTTTTGGCTGGCTCATGCAATTGATATTTTTTTATTTTTGCATCTTGGAATGCTCCTTCCTTTTTCAATCTTTCTAAGAGTTGCAACAGTGATGGTTTTCTATTTAAAGAACATTTTGCATTAAATCTATTGTGCCAGCCTTCAATGGCATTAGTAGTTCGCTGGACGGCTCCATAGCAACTAAATATAGAGGTTGTGATGATTTGTATCCAAAAGTTCGTATAATATTTGTGAAATTTTGAAAAGCACTCCAGGTCTGGCATTTCTTCATGGAGGCTTAAATAAGCCTCAGGGATGTAAGACGAAGGAAGTAGGGAAAGTTTGCAGCAACTGTCAATTATAATTTTCCCGATTGCCGAATCATTTAATTTTAATTCCTTTGCCTTCGCCTTGATGGCTTTTTGATAATGGAAGAAACATCCCATCACCTGTACCCCCTGAAACACGTATTGTATTGCCTTAATCGTAGCGAGCTCGAAATCACATGCAAATTTTTTAATGTTCATTCCCAATTTGTCTCTAAATACTTCAAACAACTCAACATATGTAGTTTATGTTTTATCTGGCAATAGTGCGTAAATTAATGGCAAGTAATGAGTCGTTTCTGATGATTTTGACAAATTTGCATGAATTGTGTAAATTTGGGAATACCCTACAGGTATTATTTTGAATGTACCATCGCCGCTAACCGTCGTTATATTTTTTAAAATCTCGCGGGCATCATTTGTGGCAAAAACAAGCATTTTACTGTCGGGATTCTGGTAAACTAAAAAGTTATCAGTCAGTGCTTTAGGTAGAGTTGAATTACTTCCTCGTTCTATACCCAAATATTTGTATCTGCATCGATATAGTGTATTCTTTACACTATCCAAATCTGGAAAATTACTTCCACCTTGTTTCTTCCACTCTATCATTTTACTTTCGAAGATTTTTGGAATTGGATCCATTGAAAGGCACACCTCTATTTTACACTCACCAGTAAAAACTTCTATTTCATTTCTCTTAAAATCTGTTGAGCAGCTGTGTTTTGCC